TCAGTAAGACACTCTGGCAGGGCCCCTACACACACACACATGCACACGCATACACTTTAGTTACAGCGTTCACTCTGAAAATGTGATTTTAGATAAACACTCACCAGCCACTTTATTAGGCACAGCACTGGGTTCAGCTGCCCTAATTATTCATGCCATAGATTCAACAAGTTGTTGGAAACATTCTTCTGAGATGATTTTGGACCATGTTGACATGAAAGCACCAAACAGTTGGTGCAGATTTTTCAGGTGCACATCCATGATGTGGATCTCCCATTTGGGATCGATTAGACAGAGATCTGGTGACCATTGAGGCCACTGAGGTTCAGTGAATCAAGTCTAATCAAACCAGGCAACATTTTTCCAATCTATTAATCGTCCAGTTTTGGTGAGTCTGTGTGAACGTCAGTTTCCTGTTGTTAGCTGACAGGAGTGGCACCTGGTCAGGTCTTCTGCTGCTCATCTTCTCCAAGGTTGGACGTGTTCAGAGATGGAGTTCTGCAGATCTTAATTTATGGTGAGTTTGAGTTGCTGTTGCCTTTTTTGTCATCTCAAACCAGTCTGCCCATTCTCCTCTGATCTCTGACATCACCAAATGATTTTCATCCACACAGCTGCCACTCGCTGGATAGTTGATCTTTTTCTGTAAATCCTAGAGTTGACTGTGTATGAAAATTCCTGCAGATCATCAGTTTCTGAGCTACTCAAACTGGCTTATAACTGAACAATAACCATGACACATTCCAAGTCCCTTTCTTCCTCATCCTGATGCGCGTTTTGAACTTCAGCAAGTCGTCTTCACCATGTTTAGACGTCTAAACGCATTAAGCTGCTAGCATGTGATTAGCTGGTTAGCTTTTTGTTAACAAGCTATTTAACAGGTGTAGCTAATAAAGTGGCTGGAGAATGTACAACAGTTTGTTTGTCGGTTCAGCTTACCGTTCTTTTCTTTGAGGACCCTGAGGGCTTGAAGCTGCAGCTCCATGTTTTTCTGAACCATTAATGAGCGAAACATCTGGAAGTCTTCTGTAGCTAGAACTGGCTGGAACACTGGCTGAACAAGAAGAATGAAAAGGTATTTAATATGAAATCAAGCCACGTGACTATATATATATATAAATATACATATATATATATATATAAAACTCAGATCAGATTAACCTGATTTGATCTTTTATGTTTTACTTTATCACCAAGCCCTTCTTGTGGATCAGTACAGGAAGTGCTTAAATAATTTTAGGCATTTAACAGTCTCCAGCTAAACTAAGCTATGTTTTCAAACACTGTGAGATATTAAACGGCTAATCTTTTACATGACTTCCTGTTTCTATTAGGAGTCAATCCTGTATCTAGGCTACAGCTTGGGAAGTCCTTAATACCATCCAGAGTTCTTAAGAGTTGAGCTTCTCTCTTTTTCCTACTTTCAATTTAACTTTTACTCTTCGCATGGCTGCTCTCAATCTTCTTCCTGCCCAGTGCCATCTTTCCTGACTTGATCATAAAAAGTGAAATCAGCCTAAACGGATGAAATGCAACACATCTTGAATTCTCTGATGTCTGTCTGTGTATCATATTCCATCTTTTGAGACAGTTTCTCATTGGGATTATTTTTTTAGTCAAGCAGAAAATCGAAACACATGTTTAAAAGTTATTAAAATATCAACTCAACAGCAACTTGTCTCTTATGAGCAACAAAAAAAAACATGACATAGAAGGCTGTTATAGACTAAATCATTCCAAACACTGCAAAAGCAAAACAAAAAATAATAATAAATAAACAAACAAAAACAAAACAAACATCCATCCATAATCTTTTACCCGCTTCTTCCATTTTGGGTCATGGGGGTCGCCGGTGCCCATGTCCAGCAATCACTGTGCGAGGGGCGGGGTACACCCTGGATGGGTCTCCAGTCCATCAAAGGGTCACATAGAGACAAACGAGACAAACAACCATTCACTCTCTCACTCACACCTAGGAACAATTTAGAGTTACCAATCAGCCTAACATGCATGTTTTTGGTCTGTGGGAGGAAACTGGAGTACCTGGAGAAAACCCACACATGCACAGAGAGAACATGCAGACTCCACCCAGAAAGGCCCCTGGACCGGGATTTGAACCAGGGACCTGCTCGCTGAGAGGCAGCAGCTCTACCATTTGCGCCACCGTGCTGCCCACAAAACAAACAAACAAAATAATAATACTAATAATACTAATAATAATACATAGGGAAGCAAGGTGGCACAACTGGTAGAGTTGCTGCCTCTCAGTGAACTGGTTGCCTCGGATGAAACTAACTATATATATTCTAGAATTGCGCCACTCAAGGTGGCTGCATGTTGGAGCAGCTCTGTTACTTTCAGTCTGAGATTTTGCTTTTGGAAACTTTAATTCCTCCTTTTCTGGATGTAAATCACATTTTCTGGATGATTGTTTCCTCTGGTATCAGATGCTGTGCAGCTGGAAGGATTTTTACTGAAATTTTTTTAGTTTTGGACATTTGTTATGATGCGTAACCATGGCAACAAGGCAGTTTTCTACAACAACAGCAGCTGATTAACATCTCAAAAGCTCAAATAATATCTCAGCTACAGCCCCAAATCTCAAATGAGTTGAAAAGGATGTTATGTGGACGCATTCTCATCTACCTGCCAGCTGTGCTCGAGTGCCTGACCACTGAGATCCTGGAACTAGCAGGAAACACGGCTCATGACAGCGGAAGGACAGGATCGTCCCTCGGCACCTACAGCTGTCTGTCTGCAGCAACAAGGAGCTCGGCAGACTGCTGGGAGGAGTGAGCATCGCTCTGGGAGGAGTTCTACCCGGCATTCGGGCGATCCTACAGCCCGGGGTAACCGAGAGGCCAGTCGAGTCTGGGTGGACGGATCGGACGGCATCTGCAGCCAGTTTCTTAGGATCCACTGTGGGATGGACCTTTACAAGAGATCCTTCCTGTCTACAAACATCAGTATCTATAACATCTCTTAATGAAATGAGGATAATGAGTTACAACAACAAATAATTTACCTTTGGGATTAATAAAGTATTTTTGAATTGAATTTTTTAATTGAATGAAATCCCTGTCCGGTCTTCATTCTGGGTGGAGTTTGCATGTTCTCTCTGTGTATGTGTGGGTTTTCTCCAGGTACTCCAGTTTCCTCCCACAGACCCAAAACATGCATGTTAGACTCTAAATTGTTCCTAGGTGTGATTGAGAGAGTGAATGGTTGTTTGTCTTTATGTGGCCCTTTGATGGACTGGAGACCTGTCCAGGTTGTACCCTGCCTCTTGCACAGTGATGGTTGGACATGGGCACCAGGGACCCCCGCAACCCAAGTAAGGAAGAAGCAGATAAAAATAATGGATGGATGTCTTGCAAATTTTCTGTGGCTCTCGAAAATTAATCAGCAGCAAAAGTACAATAATTGTTGATGATAAAGTAAAAAATCAGTTTTCATCATGCATAATAAAACTTTCACCACACTATTCAGGGCGGCTGAGGCTGAGTGGTTAGAGCAGTCGTCCTCCAATGCGAGAGTTGGGGGTTTGATTCCACTAGCAGTCACATGCCAAAGTGTCCCTGGGCAAGACACTGAACCCCTCATTGTCTCTGATGTGTGTCCCATCGGTGTATGAATGTGATAAAGCACTGATTAATCTTTGTATAGAAATAGTAGAGTGCTGTATGAATGGGTAAATGAGGACACAGATTGTGTTATAAAGTGCTTTGAGTGTCTTGATCAGATAGAAAAGTGCTATATAAGTGCAGTCCATGTACTGTTTATCTCAGTCTCACTTTTTAGGCATAATTGTGGCTTTAAAAAACTGAAATCTAAAGTTGTTAGTGGCTATAAACTAGACTTTAATATAAGCTACAAATGACAAAAACATCCTGAGCAGTTATACATTTGAACCCACAAGAGAAACATTTGCATGAGTGTGTGTGTTGTGTTTATATAGCATATCTGCACCGATAACTATCAACCTCTGCTATTAATCTTTGTTTTAGGGGGACTTAGCTGTCTTTGCAGGGAGTAATTATTTACCTAAGAGGTATATAATGAGATTTGAGACACTCCGGGACTGAAAGTAAATCCTGAATTAAATCTCTTCCAAGCTGGCATGGATATGTCACACTTCTGCTCAGTACCAATAAATAAAAAAAATCTTATGACTAAAGAGTAAAATCTAGAACAACCTTAAAAACTAATTTAATCAAATAGCACACTTAAAAAAAATCTTATCTACATGGAATAGTATGTGAACAAGCACAAGTCAAAAACCAACAGGTTAAGTATATAATCCCCCCCCCCCCCCCCCCCCCCCCCCCACACACACACACACACAAAAAGAAGAAAAAAATATACAAAAGATTGATGCAACATTAAACCTCATAAACCCACCAGAAGACTAACAAAATAAAGTTTTAGGTGTCTAAGCGTTGCTCAACATTTGCTGTAGATATTAAAGCAACTAAATGCACATTATTGTCTTTAACATCATTCTAAAAATGGCAACACTATTAAAATGTTCAAATATTACAATGAAATGCATCGAGAAGAGCACAAAGTTTTGTTAATATACGTATTACACTAGTAATTAGCACTTATTACAGGCGTGACTGACCATAATATTCAATTCAGTTCAATTCAAATATACTTTATTAATCCCAAAGGGAAATTATTTGTTATTGTAACTCGTTATTCTCATTTCATTAAGAGATGTTATAGATACTGATGGCTGTAGGCAGGAAGGATCACTTGTAAAGGTCCATCCCACAGTGGATCCTAAAAACCTGGTTGCAGATGCCGTCCAATCCGTCCACCCAGACTCGGCTGGCCTCTCGGTTCCCCCGGGCTGTAGGACCACCTGAATGCCGGGCTGAACTCCTCCCAGAGCAATGGCTACTCCTCCCAGCAGTCTGCCGAGCTCCTCATACCTGCGGACAGCCAACTGTAGGTGCTGAGGGACGATCCTCTCCTTCCGCTGTCATGAGCCGTGTTTCCTGCTAGTTCCAGGATCTCAGTGGTCAGGCACTTGAGCAGAGCTGGCAGGTAGATGAGAATGCGTCCACAGAACATCATTTTCAACTCATTTGAGAGTTGGGGCCATAGTTGAGATATTATTTGAGCTTTTGAGATGTTAATCAGCTGCTGTTGTTGTAGAAAACTGCCTTGTTGCCATGGTTACGCATCATAACAAATGTCCAAAACCAAAAAAATCTCAGTAAAAATCCTTCCGGCTGCTCAGCATCCGATACCAGAGGAAACAATCATCCAAAAAAATGTGATTTACTTCCAAAAAACCAGGAATTAAAGTTTCCAAAAGCAAAATCTTAGAATGAAAGTAACAGAGCTGCTCCAACATGCAGCCCACCTTGAGCGGCGCAATCTAGATCAGATAGATCTAGATAATATAATAATAATCAAAACATTTTCATTCAGACCACATTTAGAAGTGGTTTGAACTCTGTTTTATCCATATAACTTTTAGGTTTGACCCTTTTTTATGACCATAACTTTCGTAGTCTGAATGAAATCCATCTGCAGCCCCATTGCGGGACCTTGAACTGAAGTGATGCAATATGTTATGGACATATTAGGGGAAAAAAGATCCTATCATCTGCTGGCTGTTTATTTAAATGCATTATACTGTATATCTAAAAAAGTTAAATCTGGTCCTCTGGACATTATTATTGAGCATGCATCAGGATATTATACTGTATACTAAAAGTCCCCTATATTTAAAAAAAACTGCATTTCAAGACTAGTTATATTGTTTTTGAACCTTAATTTGACAATCGTTGCAATATGTTTTCATCTACATTTCATGAGACAACTCTAGTTTTGTTAAATAAAATAAAATAAAAGGGTAGCAGATTATGTCAAAAACTGGCGTCTTGATTTACTTATTAAAACCCCAAAACTATTTTTGCTTCCCTGAAGGAGGAGGAGTGATTATGTAAGCAAATCCCATTGACTCTGCACTCAGGTTATCTGGCAGTCTGACAGTGATGTGCAGAAGGAACTGAAAATACCTGCAGAGATTGGGACTTGGCAAAGGGAGAGGTGCATGCATCCATTAGCTGCTGCTCGTTGATGCCAACCTCCTGCATGTACGTCTCCAGCAGCTTCTCCACCTACGATGGAAAATCATTTTTCAGCGAGTCAGCAGTTTAAAAAAAAACTATTATATGAGAAATTGCAGACCAAAACAGACAAACAAAAAGCTCAGTTTAGCAACTTCTTTACATGCTAACTTGAGTCTACTCACCAGTTTCTTATACTGATGGTGAATTTCTGTATATGATAACTTGTTTTCATCTTCGTCGTCAAAAACTGAAAAAAATATATATATATAATCAAAAGATAATAATAATTTTACCTAAGCCCGTTATTTAAAATCACTTCTATTCAGTGTTACACGCGTTCAGATTTAAATGCCTAAAACTGTTAGCTTGAGTTAGCAATTCGGCTAACTGTGAACTGCAACCTTAATCCTCATCTGTGCCACAAGTAGAGGAAGTCCAGGTTGGTTGTTATACCAACTCTGAGCTCAGCTGTATTAAACAAAGTGCTGATATTAAGCAAGTTATGCAGAAATTGCAAATACAACTTGTAGCTACGTCGACAACATTCAAAGTTAGCATTAGCTTAGCCGCGGTGCACTCCACAGAAAATGCGTCCGCGCAGTCAGACAGAAGTGTTAAACTAAAACGTTAGGGCTTTTTATTATTATTACTACCTGTGCATTTGTTTTCCATAAAGTCTGTGATGGGAATGATCCATTCGGGACTCCCCAGGTAGCCAACGATGCTCTCTACTATCCACTCAGTGTCATCTTCAGCCATCATGTCAGCGATGTTCTACTGGGCCACCAGCTTCACTACAGCTCGAACAAACCCAACCCGTCCAAACGGGTAGAGACATGAGAAAAACTGTTCCCCGTCAACAACATGTTCCCAAGAACCCGCCGCGAACGTTTTTTTTTTTTTTTTTTTTGTCTTTGCGAGATTGGAGAAAAGAAAAGCAAAGTCCTGAATCTGAAAGTCAACAGTGGTGACGCCAAATCGGTTGCTGTGGTAACCGATTCGCCAGTTTGAAGTTGTTGGGTGTGTTATGGCAGTTCGTTGTAACATATAATTAAACAACATAATGTATTTTGTGGCAGTTCGTTGTAACATATAATTAAACAAGGAAAATGTATTTAGACATTTATTTAGATGTTTTCAGATTGAAATTAAAATGTGTAATACGTTTTTGCCTGGAAAAAGATGTCAAGGCCCCTACAACTGAGATTATTAGGAACATCTATGTTCAAAACATCTAAAAAAAATTAAAAATAGCCATTTTAACATTTAGTTACACTAACTATGAATTCAAGATATTGGTAGTTAATTTCTGCCTTGTCCAAATTTCAGTTATTCAAGAACCATCATCTTCATCTCAAACCCAAATAACACGTCAGATATTTAAAACATCTTTCTTTCTTGAACAAATATCTAAAATTTGATTTAAGAAAATAGGAATAAACTAATTTCAAATAAATAATAAATGATTGAAGAAGCGGGTAAAGATAATCGATGGATGTTAGTCATATTTTTTCTCTCAACTGTTTTATGTTATGACTTTTCATACAATTGAAAACACAATCACACAAAAAACACATTATATTTTTTATTAAGAGTAAAAATTAAGTTTTCAGATAATCAGTAGTGTGCAATAACAAGATATTTAATAAATATACATTCCATTTGTATCTTTAAAGGTATAAGATTTCCCTTTTAGTTTAAGTTGCAGAAAGGCTCATAGCTACTGTGCAGAGTTTATAAAGGCAGGACATGCGAGCAGCAAGCATGCCGAAACATTTTAACAGAATAAAGGTAGGCGACATTAGAAAGTTTAACAGTGACAGAAGTTACTCAGGTTCATTCTGCTTAAAGCCGCAGCTCTTCACATACATTTTTGCTTCTCTCATTACAAAAGAACAGCATCTTTTAAACAGTTTTCACTGGAAAGCCCTCCGATTTCTTCAGTGTCACTGAAAGGAATGACAACAAAATAAACATACTGTACATTCAGGCGATACAGAAACATGCCATTTGTTAGTTTTCTGTGAATGCTTTCATTTTACTGTTTGCAAACAATTTCAAACCTTCACATTTTTGTGTTTTCAGATCAAAAATCATCTTCAGCATCATGCATAGGGCATATGAGTCCTGCAAAACAGTCACCGTTTTTCAAGATTAAAGGGGTTTGAACAGCATGTACACAAGTAATATTTTACACAAAGACATGGGTAGAATATATTAGCAGCATTTCTTCCACACATGTGACAATCAACTGATAATAGCAGCATTCCAAACAAGATTTAAGAATAACCAATATGACAGTGTTGTGATGTGCTCTAAAAAACAAATACACGTTGGACTTTCAACGTGTTACGTGTTTGAAGTCGCATCTTTTTCGTGCTTTTGCAAAATCAGACATCATAAAAAAGCAGGCGTTAACAGTTTCAGTAGAGTTTTGATGCAACATTGCTCTTTGTGTGTGATAATTACATTTATTAGCCCTATAATGACTGCAGTCACTGTACTTAGAGAGTTATTTAAAAAAGTGACATAAAAGAGTTAATGAGCTTTATCGAACCATGTATCCTTAAAGGTGATTAAAGCACATTTTTGTCATTTTGATATACAATATAGTTTTTGAATAACCTCCACTAGATGGCAGAAGTTATCCACAATGATGGGACACGTGTTTTTTTTTTGGCACCCAATAGTTTAATCTTCTGTTGATTTAAGTGATTTGGCATCAAATGAGTAATGTATTGTTGCATTTCAGAGCTTACAAAAATACACCCCTTATTTCCCACAAACGTCACATGATTGCAACTGATTAAACTGCTGATTGTTTTGATTACCGAACTGTTTAGTTCAGAAAATGTCCAGCAAAAGATGGTCCATCCCAATTTCTTAAAGCCCAGGTGACACTGAAAATATATTATATGGTCCAAATAAATATTTAGCTACGCTTTCTGTGCATTCTTGCTTCATTTAACAGGTATTTGCCCGCCCTGCCAAAAGAATCCTGACAAAACCTTCATTATATAAAGTTTTGTTTTAAAGTTCTGACCAAAGACAACATGCATATCGTTAATAGAGTTCTCATGATGCAGTCGTTATTGTTTTGTTGTTTGTTTCATGGCTCAGAAAGTTTTAAAAAAGCCGTTTGACACAACCATAAACCACACAAGCATGGTTGTTTAAAGTTCCGCAAACACAAAACATGCCATCATTCATTAAAAAAAAATTAAATTTGCTACAAGTTTCCATTAAAGAGTTAAATAGTTCATCTTCACGGCTAATCTACGGTAAACGTTCAGTCAACGTACAGTAAAGGGAATGCAGAAGAGATTCAGGCATGACTGTACGAGCAGACATGTCGTCGAGGTTCAAACTGCAGCAACTTCAACTGTCAGCTTTGTTAAAAATGTATTGTATTGATTGTGCAGACAGCAGAGATCCACTGACCCAAACAGCAAGTTGCTCACAACACTGTTTGGAAAGATGCTAGAGATTTACATCCGCTTGCTCCCCTTTTAATTTTTTAACATTTATGTAAAAAGAGTAAGTAATATTTGTTATGAGCCCTTCAGATCAGTACTTGTCTTGGTCCAAGGAAAGACATGTGTTGTACATCTCTGCAACTTAAAGTAGTAGTTTTTCAGGAGTAGCAATGCACCGTAAAAAGAACATTTGGCGATATATGTGGATGCATTACTTAATTCAATATCAGCCTTTAAAATAAGCATGCATACTGCCATGTGATTGTGAAAACATTTGCTTTCTTGGATTTAACAAATGCGCTCTGGTGTTTGAGGTTGGAGCATGATGGTTATTGATTCGATAAGTGCCTTTAGAGCTCCAGTTTCTCAACTTTGGGTCAGCTTTCAACACACGTTTATGACACTGTATCCATTAAAAGACTAAAAGCAACATTCAGACTCTGATAAATCTTGTTATGCACATCCACACAAAATTGTGTATCATCATTAATTACCATAGCTGTCTTTGGAGGAGTCTGGAAAATTACAAATGATACTAAAGTGTTACTTGGTTTGGATAACACTAAAAGTTTTGGTTACCGTATTTTTCAGACTATAAGGTGCACTTAAAATCCTTTAATTTTCTCAAAAAACGACAGTGAGCCTTATAATCAGGTGTATTAATTCTGGTTGTGCTTACTGACCTCGAACCGATTTTATGTAGTTATTGTGAATGAGTTGAATAAAGTTTGACTTATCTGACTGTTTTGTTTCACTTAATGCGCCTTACAATCCGATGCGCCTTATGGTCTGAAAAATACAATAGTCAATGTCACACTATCTGAGAGAAACTGAGTCAGAATGTCTGTGTTTTGAAAAGATGCTCTGTTGAAGCTAAATATGATTGTTGCTGCTCTCAGACAGAGAACCATGACCACACTGTCTGATCCATGCCATATTACAAGTGTAAAATTAAAACTCCTAGCTGTAGATCCTTGAATCTTTTTTTTTTTTTTTTTACAATTAGAACCCAAAACATGTGCAGCATCATCTGTTAAGTCAGCTGTTGCTTTCTGACTGGTTTAGAAATTGAAGGTTTTATTTTATATTTTTTAAGTTGTTTCTTTTTAGTTTGTGGTATTTGGTAAAACTGCTACTTGTTTACATAAAAATAAACTGTTAGAAATTCACAATAAATGACAATATTTTGTTCCCAAAATGCTAGTGTAGCTGCACAAACTGTTCTGCTTCCTGTCTCTGCATAAACATGCAGGTGCTATTCTCCCTTTTAAAGGGTGTTAAGTTATGACTGCCAAAACTCTGGTAACACTTCACAATGAGGTACACAAAATTTGCTTAACTACTAGGGAACACCTAAGGAACAAATCAGGAACTAATGGTTAGTTAACCAGTACTTAATGGGGAACACATAGCCAAGCCTTATTAGGGGATTACTGGTTAGTTACCTTGAAAATGAAGCTGAACTAATCAAGAACTAATGGGTAGTTACCAAGAAAACCAAAGAGGAACAAATCAGAAGCTAATGGGTAGTTAACCAGTACTTAATGGGGAACACACAGCCAAGCCTAATTGGGGGACTACTGGTTTGTTACTACAGAAACAGAGGAGAAATTCTACATGTGAGTTCTGAATAAACCCTGCACCAGTGAGGTCACAGCTCATAATTGTCAAAAACTTGTTTTGCTCCTCTTTAGTTTCCTTGGTAACTATTCATTAGTTCTTGATTAGTTCCTCTTTGTTTACAAGGTAAATAACCAGTAGTTCCCTAATAAGGCTTGACTGTGTGTTCCCCAGTAAGTACTGTTTAGCTGCCCATTAGCTCCTGATTCGTTTCACGTTGGTTTCTATGGTAACTACCCATTAGGTCCTGATTAGTTCCTCTTTGTTTTCCAGTAACTATCCAGTAGTCCCCTAATAAGGCTTGGCTGTGTGTTCCCCAGTAAGTACTGGTTAACCAACTCCTGATTTGTTCCTGATTCGTTCCTGAGGCATTCCCTAGTAATTAATCAAATTTTGTGTACCTTATTGTAAAGTGTTACCAAAACTCCTTACATGGCGTACAACATTTAGGCAATCAGTACAAGTTTCAATACTTCTTTACATGAGTAACCTCAATGAAGACAAAACAAACATTAAATGAAGATCAATATGCCATTTGTAAATAAATTAATGTTCCACCTAACCTAAAATATATCGGCTTCCCTCTTGAATCCGTTTAAAGTGCCAGACTGCAGTGAAGGGATTCGTTCTCTCCCAGGTTCTTCTTTATTTGAAGATCTGCAAACCAGATGATGTTTAAATCGTCAAGTTGTTGCTTACAAGAACAAAAGAAAATTGCTACAAAGATCCAGTAGAAATCCACTGAAGAGAGCAGTCAGTTTTCCAGTGAACGTCACAGAGAGCCGCTGCTCTCGGCCGACTGACTGGTTGGATCCAGTGAGCCGTCACAGTTGTGATTATTTTTTTGTGTCTGTCTGTCTTCAAGGTGAGTCATTTCGATTCCAGCCATCTCTTTGTGACTGATCATAGCTGGTGCCTGCTCACCGGCAATGCTTTGGTGACTAATTGTTCTTAATCTGTCCTCATGGTGGGATGTCAGTCCATCGACGTTGAGGTGGTTCCTCAGCAGTTCGGGTTCAGCACCAAACTGACCTGCTCTGATAGGCGCTGGTCCACTGTGTCTGGCTTTGTCTGGCACTTTTTTGGTGATTTGGTGCTTGTTGCAAACAGGGATTTTGTTGGTCTGAAGCGAGCGAGTGTAACGTGAAAACCAGTCCCGCTCAAAAACAGCGTGTAGCTGCTCCACTACTGTGAAGTGCTTTTCTGACATGCTTTCTGGGTGACTGATCACAAGGCCTGCTCCGGTGTTGTATGTAAACTCGTTCCCCACCCAGTCAAGGTTTCCTGTCAGGAAGAAGACCACAGAGGGGAAAAAAAAGTTAAAGGTGTTTTTTTAACAGAGTTGTCAAATCTGTGTGCACAATTGTCTGCATACTCATCCCTGAAACAACGCTTTGCTCAATTTACTGCCCATTTCAGAGCACAGCAGAGATTAATCACACTGCTAAGAAAATAAACCTTTTGTTTATAGTCCAATTACCACACTTAATCTTCTAAACTTTATCAATTAACCATTCAGTGAATGATCCGAAGATAAATCTGAATCAAATCAGTATTTTGATTGTTTTTAAAAACAGCATCCTGTTTTATTTGCACATTTTTGAAGGCACTCTGCAGACAGGTTATCCCAAACATCTGGGAAAACTAACTGCAGAGCGTGGTTGGCTCTGGCTCAGATCCTTTGGTCTCTTACTGTATTCTCAGACACACTCAGTGATGTTGAGATCAGGGCTCTGTGCACACCACACCACCACTTCCAGAACTCTTTGTTCTTCTTTGAGTTGACGATGGTTCTTAATGGAATTAGCTATATAACCAATCAGACATCACCTGATGGAATCACATCATGAACAAGTATCTGCTTGTTGTTCTCAGCATTCAGGTTACCAAGAATCTTGATCAAGTCCCAAACTGTGTTTACTCCCAGACTCTCATAAAGTAATCAGTGGTGCAAATCTATAACTCGTTAACTTTGGAGTCAACTCAACTCAAGAGTTTACTCTAAAGAGGAAAAAAACAGTTGGTGCTAAGATGGACTGGGGCCCGCCCTCTCCCATGGTGCCCGCCCTCTCCCTCGTAGACAGTCATGCCAAACTGGTTCAAAACACCAAAGTCCATGCTCAATAATCCAGGTAGAAATGTTGTAGCACAAAAAATTAAAAATTAAAATAAACCATCCAGATGACCTGATTGAACATTTTTGGATTTCATACCTGGATTAGTGAGCATGAACTTTGGTGACATATTGTCAGTGGTACATATTGCACAAAATCTTTACTTTAGCATTAACTGTTTGTACCTGCATGTCAGTTAACCAAATATGTTATCACAATAGGCTGGTGCTGATGAACCCAGTGGTGCAGGCATGCAGGCAAGAACTCAGGATAAAGATATAAAATAGGAGATTTATTAACAAAACAAGAAGCTGACAGGGCAGCAAAACAAACATATAATGATCAGTGGACTACTCACGATACAGATGGGTCATCACCAGTGAACAGTAAACAATGACAGGATGAGACCCCACACAGACACAGACATATATACAGTACAATGACTAATGAGACAAAACACCTGTGAAGACACACAGCTGAAATACATCAGGGGAAATGATGAACTGGGAAACCAGGGAGTGCAGGAACAAAGACACAGCACCAGATGGAGGCATACACTAGGAAAACACAAACCCTATAGAAAACAGAAACTAAGGATCAGAAGAACACAAGACAAACACAACACAAGAGACAAACCACAACTCCTACATATTTCTTGAAGTTCTGACCAAATTTCAACAGTACATTTTGAAAGTAATCACTGGATGTACATCCACATCCATTGATTAACCCAGTCCAATCCACCACAGCTTATCAAGTTTAGCCATCACAAATTGCACTAACTGGGTCAAATTTACAGATACTGAGATAAATCATAGTTTGTTGGTAGCTGAGAGTCATCTTCAACACAGATTTTGAGCACCAAAACATCTTGATGCAGACTTGCATGAGATTGTTCATCAGGTCCTTTACAAGATTAGACTAAATCAGCTATAACTCCCTCATTTCTCATTCTGAAATGATCAATTTTAAACTCGGTCATTCCTTCAAGGAATACAAGGCTTTTAACTATTATAGTTCTTTCCAGTCCGTTGATGAACAAACTACCTTCTGAATATTTTTGTTTTTGACTCAGAGCACCCGGCTGCCATATTGGAAAGAAGGCACAAGGTGTTGTTCACCCATTGCTTAGTTTCCTTGGCTGACCACTGCATCTACACCCTTCAGTTTCACTGTTTTTCGTTGTGCTTCTTTAAAAGAGCTTGAACAGGGTGTGCTGACACCTCAGACTGCTTTAACACTTTGCCCAGGAGAGAGAAAGACCTTGCTGATGTAATCTAACTACCGTAACTTGTGTTTTGTTGCTGTGGTCAGTCATATGGTTGGTGGAATTAATTAATGATACATGTGAATATAATGGTGTAAAATCCCTGACTTTGTGCCTGTGTATCTAAAAGAAGCTGATGCCGTTTTAAAAACTATAGGTGGTCTCAAGAAATATGATTTGATTCAAAATTCTCTTTTATTTTTAGCTCAATTTGCAATGAGTAAATTTATTAATAAGCAATCTTAATAAAAAAAACCTTTGCACAGTATGACATATAAAATATTTCCCCTTTCGGTTTCATTTGACCTGTAATTCAATGATTAAAAAAATTACATAAAATACAACAATGAAAATGAACGAGTTGCCTTTTAATGGGAATTTTTTTTTCTATGCTCACTTTCCAAAAGGAAACAAATGTACAACTATTCCACTTATAATTAGATCTGTATGAGGTGAGTAAAGAGGTGTAGGTCACTGTCATAAAGTCCTGCAGATAAGCTTACCTAAATAAATGGCTCTGTCAGTAACCATAAACCTGTTGTGGTTTATTCCGCTGAGACTGCCGTCCCCCTGCTCTTTGGGGCTGAAGAACTTCTGCACACACAATCAAAGACACAGTGGTGCTGTGAGCGCTGATAAAGTGCAGCCGTGGAGCTGAAAATAGCACCGAGTGCTGTTGAACTTACAGCTTCCAGGGAACAGTTGGCCTGCTCCATACACAGACTCTTCAGGGACCAGATGAAGTTGAAAGTAAGTGGATTTGTTTCTTCCCAGCAACTTATCATCAGGCGGACTCGCACCTTCCTCAAGATCAGAGCCTCCCTTATGAGGTCGTCGATACGAGACCAGTATCTTGGCACAGGAACATGTACGAACACGGGCAGAAAGCCAGAAAGACAAAGAGGGACACACAGAGTTTAATGGCTTGAATCAAAGCGTTGTGTTCAATCTCTTAATGGTTAATGTAGTGCTGTGGCAGAGGGGCTCTAACCTCAGCGTGCTGCTCACTGCATTGCTCCTCACCAGGGGCAGGTAATCAATGATGGAAATGTATATGAATTGCCGGGCCTGCTGGATGACCCTGGAAATGGCTTCTAGATCACTACTACGATCTTTGGGGATGAAAACATCTGGCGAGCTCTGTTAACAGAGGAGGGAGGGAGTTAGGAGGTACCGTATTTTTCACAGTACAAGTCGTGGTTTTTAAATAATTTGCATGCCCTTGTCTGCTTTCCGATGAGCAAAGGTAACCACTGGAGGTAGCGATAAGCACCTTTGCTTGCAGCCTCTCCTCCAAGGGGTCCGGAAGCTTACTTCAGCGCCGTGGTTTTACCTGTAGCTGTCTAAAGTAGCCTCATTAAGGCTGCGGCGAGGTGATTCATCCAGAATATTAACGACCTTAAATCCGTGAGTCACACCCTAATCTCACTCTGTTACCTCGAACCTCCAAGCAGCAGGGAATGGATCTTCTGGTCCAGAGAAACTCGCGTTGTGGCCGCTCACCTCTCACATTAGCGTTGCAATTGTTAACTGTTCTGGCAATCTTTAGGGCCCTGGAAACGGGCTCAAGGGTGTTGTTTATCAACTAGGAAACCTTTACAAAAACCTCCTGTTATTGGTGTTGTTAAGTGAACCAAGCATTTCCATGTTTTGCTCATTAAGGGTGAAATAATAGTCCAGATTTGTACGTTTTGCGTTGCTTTTAATCAATAGTTTGCGCAGGGGTACAGCAACAGGCACAATTTTATAATGATTAATTTTTCATGAGTACATAGGATACACTTTCTTCCCTAAATAAGGCGATGACTACTATCTGTGGAAATTCTAAACCTCAAGAGCCCTTGAGGGTTTACAGATACTGCCTTCACATAGATCCTTCACAACTCAAGCCAAAAGATGTTCTCCCTCAACTCCCTCATGAACCAGAAGCACCTTCGAGCAAATCTCACCAGTAACCAATTTAGTACTCCCAAATTTATTCTGTATGCTGTTCTTCCAATTTGATGAAACAATTTAATTAGAGCAGAGTAAGATTGAGGTCGTCCGCTTACCATGATTTTGGGGTGACCCTTAGTGAGTCACCGTGGGGTAAGGGCAAATTTCCAGTTCTCTAGGAGAGAGACACCGGCCGATCCTCAAAGGCAAGTACAACTATTCCAAATTAGAGAATCAGAGTTTTTGGACGGGCCCAGGTCAAGCAATTAATAGAAGTTGGAAGCTCATCCAGTTTGAGTGTTGACGAAAGAAAGCTTAAATCCAATCCCATGTCAGTGAAGAAAAGAATTAACTCCCATCATCGTCTCAAAACTGGTAAAATCCAACTCCTTTTAGGCTCCCTCTGATCCGACGAGCTTGTCCATCGCCTGTAATCTCCTCTGCTCAGCTCTTCAGTTCAGCTTCGACTCTGCATTGACCAGGTTCATTCTGTCCAGTCTGTATTTAAAGACTTATTCATCCCTCCTCCTCTTAAGGAGGGGTTATGGAAAATTACATCATCTCTTTTCCAGTAACTTCTCTGCTGTTTTGCACCTCAACCGGTTCAGACCGGTTTTCTCGGTACTTTCCAGAACTTGTTTTGCTCAAAGATGCGTCATCATGAGATGAGTTGTGTTTGAACTCTCTGACTCCTTGTTTTCCTCCTACTGCTCGAGGCAGGCCCAGACATGTTCTTAGGTGGGCATGCTCAGACATGTTCAATGTTACTGAGGCCTCTTCAACTTTACCATTTCACAAGCAAAAGTGAATCACACAATCCTACATAAGATTATACAATGTCTTAAAGATTAACACTTTCATTAGTTGATTATGTGTTGATTATTAGTAAAACAGTTTGGTTACACATTATCAAAACAGTAAAACACTTTTGATTACACATTATCATTTTCAGCTTGATTTAAAGCTTGAGTTCAGTCCTTCTGCTGCTGAGGAGAACTTTTGATCAGGCTTCATTTTTCTTAAAGCTGGTGGTCTGTTCATGCATTATCACCACAGACACCTGGTTTATTGACACCCTGCAACTTATAGGCCAAAACAACATATTTATGGATTTGTTTCCCATCTTTATAAACCTATTTTTGGCTGACATATGACCGTTTTCATTCATTCTGACTGAAAAAAATTGAACAGTACCATTTTCAGCCACTAGATGGCAGTCGAGTAGTAAGGCATGCCGTTGTATCATGTAATGGAGTTAAACTCAAAGCAGTTTGCTCCTCAGATAAATAATGTTAAATTATTATTTTTAAATGTGAATGTTTTTGTTAACTTATTTTATATATGAATTTTTCTGTTCAGTGTCCGGAGATGACTTCTGTTGTGACTTGGTGCTATATAAATAAACTGAATTGAATTAATAGGTAAAAGTGACTATTAATGACACAATCAGTTTGGCATAGACTGCCACCGTCGTCTGCCACCGTCATCTGCCACCATCATCTGCCACCATCATCTGCCACTATTGTCTGCCTGGAGCAACCGAATCAGCTTCATTTTGCTGCACCGCCCCGGCGAAATGCAACTGATTTGACCGTCAAAGTGTGTTTATTGAGTAAACGTTAGACTGAGACACACCTTTACTATAATTTCGAACAAACAAATAATTGTTTTTAAGTGTTTATCTTGTTCAATTTTGAAGAAATGCGGAGGCTCATCCCTCTGCGTGTGCCTGCTTCTGGGAATCGGGTTTTGAAATGCAGCTGATTTGACCACAAAAGTGCATTTATTAAGCAAAAGTTAGACTGAGACACTCCATCCATCCATCCATTATCTTTACCCGTTTATTCCATTTTGGGTTACGGGGGTCGCTGGTGCCCATGTCCAGCAATCACTGTGCGAGGGGCGGGGTACACCCTGGACGGGTCGCAAGTCCGACTGAGACACTCATTTACTATAATTTTGAGCAAACAAATAATTGTTTTTAGGTGTTAATCTTGTTAAATTTTTGTTAAAGTCCTCCTGTGTACGCCCCCGTGGCCACCATTTGGCAGCCCATCGATTTTTGGCACAACACCGGCCCACATTTCCGGGTTCAACCCACATTTCTAGGTTGTCACCACTGACGCGTCACACATAATAGATGCGACGTATATGGCAAAGTGACCTATTTATGGATGTTTCCACCTTTTTAGACATATTTGGACTGATGAGACTTATAGGGCGGTATGACGTGTACGGCAGAAAATACGGTAGGTGTTGGTACTGTGGAGCAGAGGACACACAACAGCTGATTGCACTTGAAAGAGACACATAAATGAGATGAGAGCACTGCATAAGCACTTTATCATTGGGGAAAAAATCTTAATAATATATAGAATTATACGATGATTAACAATGATAACATCATGCCAACAAACCCATCTTCATTCACCTGATAGGTAGAATTTGATGTTGTTTTTATGAAGAGTTGATGTTTTGTCATTTGTTTAAAAAGTCTCAAAAGAGCAGCTTTAACTTTCCGGGAGAAAGCCACTGAATGATTAACACAGGGTGTGTGTGCTTGCTTTATTTTGGCTGGTAAATGTCACCATCACTCATCTCTGGGAAAGAAACCACATTAAAAGATGCATCATCTTTCAGACACAGTTATTAATCCACCTGTCACTTCTGCAGCCCATAGCTTCTACACTTTAATGTGCTGTACAAACACATTTTATGGGTTTTAATTTGTTACTCTGTTTTATTTTTGTGATGTTTATAGGATTTTTATGCTGAAAGGTTAAATTTTAAAATACAGAACGAATCTGACAATATGTTTAATAGCTTCATCTTTACAACTGAGCTGCACCCACATGAGTTTTTTTATTTTATTTATTCTTCTGTATCACTTATTTCTCTGTGTGAATGGGTATAGATTGTGCTCACAACACCTTTTACAGTCTCCATTTTGACCTGTTTAGGTGTAACTTATGATGCTTTAAATCATCTTAATGGTGACATGAATGACAGCCACACCCAACATCAGCCTGAGCTAATTCTGTAAGATGAAGGTTGACCATGAAAAATGCATGTCATGAATGCAAACTGAGATCAGTTTTAAACACTTGTTTTGAACTATTATTTGAGTTTACTATTAGAATGATTAAACCAAATTATTTTAGAGTTACATCTTAATAGCCAAGAAATATTTTTATGCTTATGATTTTACAATGCTAACGGTGATAAACACACAAACTAGTTGTGCAATGCTACACATATAAAGTGCCAAAGAAGCATTTTTATGATGCAAACCGCACTTGATCAGTGATGGTGCTTGAGGTTGTCAGGTCATATTTGTGTTTTGGGTATTACGAACATCATGCAGTCTCCAAGGCAGGTCTGAGTCCTACAGCAGCAGCTCACAGGTCTGTCTCAACCAGAATCATTTGACATCATTGATTCCAGCACAAGGTCACTGTTTCCAGTCTTTGCCAGTATTTAGTCTGGTTTGCCTTGGACTGTTTGGTCCACATAGTTTATGATGCCAAGCTTGACTATAAGCTTGACTTATATAGACTATAACCATCTTATCACCATCAAACTGGTTGGCCCACTATGTGAGTGTGCTGCTTGTGGGAATGAATTTGTTGTGACTCCTCGGACTGATGAAGTCCTTTGGATGAAGGACGAAAAGTTTAAACAAAAAAAGAAACCATCCAGAGGACCTGACTTAACTTTGTTGGATTTTTTACCTGGATTATTGAGCATGAACTTTGATGAAAGCTTGATTATAGTTTGAACAACAGAAAGGTTCTAGGTGCTGTGGAGAGCTTTGTGACTGTTCTACTTCAAAAATCTGTGGAGCTGAGGTGCAGAAGGGTCATGGCCTCTTACTAACACATCTCAGGACCAGAGGGGATAAAGTTTCTGAATGTCAAATGTTGACAAGAACAATACATTTCTGTAGAACCTTTTGATATCACTGTGAAGTTGTAACCATCTGGTTATAAATCTCAAATTTGATATCAGTTTATACTAATAAACATCTAACCCCGTGCTTGAATATGTGAGTTTTATACCTAGCAAGAAATATGGATCACAATGTGACTGACTTACAGAGATGTAGGATTCAGCTTCTGTGCTGTTGAATGTGACAATCACTGGTTTGTCTCTGTTAAAATAAGGGAAGAGTCGTTTGGACCAGAAGCTGGGGATGAAGTCTTTATGCTGGAGGCCCCAATAGAGGCTGAACACTCTGTGGAGGTCCAAAGCCAGACACGTGCAGTTGTATACCAACACACCAAGCTCCTTTCTCTGCAGGGCAGACAGAAAACATACAAATACCCTAATTATGGATCAAATAGCTTCATTCAACAAAAAAGATGGTTTTCATTTTAGCAACTGTATTATTTTTTTTATTAGACCTTTACTTATACATGTTAGTTCCCGTTGAGCCTCGAAGACTCGTTTACAAGAGAGACCTGTTACATACATTTATTCTATTTATTTTTAGCCTGAAAAAGAGCATGTCACACAAAACCTTTATTCAGATTCAGTCACCTGTTTTGTACTATTTTAACACATTTATACAGGTTCATCTAAAAAAAATTAGAATATAGAGAAAAAGCTCAAATTTGTGTCAGTCATTTGAGAATGTGAAACTCATTCATTGCACAGAGTGAAATATTTCAATCCTTTAGTTTCTGTAGTTTTGATGATTATGCTTTACAAATAATGAAAAATTAAAATTCAGTGTCGTAGAAAATTAGAATATTCCACATCAAGCTTTCACCATCACCTTTGTCAGTGTGGGCATGAGCTGAATCCTGCTGGAAAATGAAATCAGCATCTCCATAATCATCAACAGAAGGAAGCATGAAGTGCTCTAAAATGTCCTGGTAGATGCTGTGCTGACTGTGGATTTCAGAAAACACAGTGGACCAACACCAGCAGAGGACATGGCACCAAATCATCACTGACTGAGGAAACTTCACTCTGGACTTCAAGCAACATGGATTCTGTTCCTCTTCTCTTCCTCCAGACTCTGGGACCTTGATTTCCAAATAACAAGAACCTTTACTTTCAAGTGAAAAGAGGACATTGGACCACTGAGTAAGAGTGCAGTTTTTTGTCTCCTCAGCCAGGTAAGACACTTTTTACATCTCTGGTTCAGGAGTGGCTGGACTTGATGAATGAGACATTTAGCTCATGTCTAAGAGTTAATCAGCTGATCAGGGTGTGACACCAGGAGTTTAAAATATTGAACCTCTTCACAACATTCAACTTTTCTGAGCCAATGAAGTTTAGTTTTTCATTATTTGTGAGCCATAACCATCAAAATAATAAGAAATAAAGGCTTGAAATATTTCACGCTGTGTAATGAATAAGTATTACACAAGTTTCACTTTCTGAAATGACTGACAAAACATAGAACTTTGTCACAATATTCAAATTTTTTTAGATGCACTTGTACGTTGATGACCAACCCAAACTTTAATTTATTTATTTTGCATGAATGTGGTTTTATTATGCTTTCTCAGGACGTACAGAAACACTCTAGTTCCTTCACAGTCTCTGTTAAAGTATTTGCATTTCTGTGTATGTTGTAGATTGGGACTGGTCTAAATTACTGTGGTCAGAGATTTCCAGTCCATGCTGGCGCTGCCGATGTAGAAATGTTTCCGATCAACCACCCAGAAGGACGAGTGGATGTTTCCCTTAGTCAAGGCTGTCGTGTTCACCTTGTGAACCTCAGCATCTACAAATTGGAAGTGAAAAAGTAAAAGTAAAAGAGATTAATTAAAGAAAGACATCAGGCAGCAAAAGACACATAAAGGAGATTAAATGAGAGGCAAGGAGACTGATGAAGAAACATATCGAGAGGAAGACGGTATCGACAAAAAATAAAATGGTAACAAGAGTTAGTAACTGAGAGGTATTACTTAAAGGAGAAGACAAAACTAAGCAGCAACATGTTTCACTACAAGCAGACAGAAAGTTTCAAACAGATGAGGAGAGCTGACATTGTTTTGCCAGTGTGTCCAGGTCAGCTGACTTGACGTCCCCACAGGAGATTTTCAACTGGATTCCTTTTGCTTTCAGCCCCTGCAGCCTGGACAACAGGTCCTTGCCCTGAGAAACAAATACCATCAAATCATAATGTTAACAGGACACGCATGCACTTTTATTCAGACAAGGCAGACTAACGTCTTTAAATGTGCCTCATCCTTTTGCAGGACTGTATATGATGATTTTGTGGAAGAGAGAATTTGAACAATTTTTAACCGATACATATTTTTAGTTTGAGTATTTTAACCTTTAAATTAGGGATGCACGATATTATCGGCATATCGGTTGATATTAGCGATAAAGTTAAATATTGGACGTTCCATCAAAATAA